AAGTGCCCGCCATGCATTTATAGAAGCTTGTGGTGTCATCACTCTCTGTTCAGAACTACTCAAGTGATTTGAGGGAGATTAGGCGAGCTTATTTTATTCTTATGCACATTAATTTAGGAATTTGGCTGGAAGACTCCTCCCCCCCCTTTTTTAAAGCAAATGTCTAAAGTTAATACCTTTTAAATACTGCAGAATTCATTTTCCTCAACTTTTTTTTTTCTTAAGATTTTATTTATTTATTCATGAGAGACACACACAGAGAGAGAGGCAGAGACACAGGCAGAGAGAGAAGCAGGCTCCATGCAAGGAGCCCGACATGGGACTCGATTCTGGGTCTCCAGGATCACGCCCTGGGCTGAAGGCAGACACTCAACCAGTGAGCCATCCGGGGATCCCTTTCCTCAACTTTCTTAGTATCATAGCCAAATTAAATCCTGAGTAATTTTGAGAAATGGACCTGAAAGAGAAAGGATGAATAAAACCCAACGAATTTCATTCAGAGTTAGCCTGTGCTTAACGTTTATATGCAATGTGGCTAGGGCAAAGCTACCTGGTTTAAATATTTGTTGATAGCCTACCATGTACCAAGTCTACATTCTAGGCTCTAGTGATAATAAAACAGTGAACAAGACAGCTAAGTTCCTGCTGTACTGATCCTAAAGTTTAGTGGGAGGGGCAAATCATAAAGAAGTGTTCAAATAAATATATAACATTTCAGAAAGACAGGAATAGAGAATGATAGGGTGCGAAGGCAGTCATGAGTGCTAATTCATAATGAGTATTTAGGGAAGTTGTTCGGATAAGGTGACATTTGAACAGAGGATTGAGGAGCCATGTAGGTATCTATGACAACCATATTCCAGGCTGGGAACATGGAAGGCAAAGAACCCGAGACAAGCTTCTATTCTGACTCTGGGCTCATCCATGCATGAACACAACAGCAAGCAATGACTTGAAAAGCATGTGTGTTTCTTCTTGCTGTCTTGCCTGATTGGGTGTATTTTCTTTTTCAAGTCTGCCTTGTCACGAGGACATGCCCAGGCTAACCTACTTGAGATGTATGAGAAATGTGGAGAAGAACCAATGCCATATTAAACCAGCTGATGGCGAGCCAGTGAGAATGCTCAGCGAAGAGCAGCTGAAGTGCTTCCTCAATGCATACTTTTGATTACAGACATATAAGTGACTCAAGTCGAGACTAGGAAAGCCATCTGCTGACCCATAGACTTATGGGCAAATATAAATGTCTATTGTTTTAAGCCACAGAGTTTGAGGATGATTTGTTATGCAGTACCATTGTGGTGATGGACAACTGATACAGGCACTCAGGGTTCTTTGCAATGTGGTCTTGCCCATGTCTTTAGCTTCATGTCCCACCATTTCAGTGCACTTTAAATTCCAGACAACTGATTTAACTGAAGTTCTTGAAATGGGACATGGTCCCTTATGAATTTCTATAAGCTATTTTCATTTCAGAAATGCACTTCATGCCCATCTTTGCCCGGACAACTATCCTTCTATCAAGACTTAGGTTAGGTGTTGCTTCTTTGAAAAGCCATGCTGATGTGCCATGCTGGGTTAAGTGTTCCTTCTCTGTGCCTGCATGGGCATCTCTAGTACAGAAAGGCACGCTTATGATTACAATTTAGTATACTAAGTGTTCTCTCTCCTCTATGAGCAGAAGCTTCCCAAAGTCAGAGACTGGCTATTCTCTGTATCCTGAATGTAGTGTTTGGCATAAAACAGAATCTCTACACACGCTTGTAAGCTTATGAAAGACATTTATTTACCTTATTGGAATAGAGTTGTAAATCTCACAAAGAAAGGGAAAATTCTAAGAGAACAGGGAAGCCTTCATGGAAGAGGTAGAAATTGAAATATTCTTTAGATTTAATAGGTGGAAAGGGATTGGGAGTTAATGAACATTTCAGGCCGAAATAGTAGCCATGAACAATGGCAAATTGTTACACTAGCGGTTGAAGCATCCAGTACTATTGTAGTAGAAGATTCATGGGTAGGTGTATTGTAATAAAGGCAGGGGCAGAGGCAGCTCAGGTGGCTCAGTGGTTTAGTGCTGTGATCAGTCCAGGGCCTGATCCTGGAGACACGGGATCGAGTCCCACATCGGGCTCCCTGCATGGAGCCAGCTTCTCCCTCTGCCTGTGTCTCTGCCTCTCTCTCTCTCTCTCTCTCTCGTCCCATTAATAAATAAAAAAATAAAAATAAAATAAAGACAGGGGCATTTTGTGGGGATTTGAACAGCATGTTAAGACATTTGGGCTTCATTTTGCAGAATAATGACACTGTAAGAACCATCCTTTAATGGGTTAGTTTGGAAACAGTGAACAGTGTATAGGATATTTTAGGGGTCAGAAGAGAAAGCGACTGGATATGTGGAACTATCTACAAGTGGCATTTGGAACAATTCAGATAAAAGACAGTGGGTAAGACTGGGAATGTGTAAGAATATATAAAACAGAAATTAAATGTGGGAGTTGGGAAAGGGGAGATAACCAAAAACTACTCTTAGATTTTTCTCCTAGAATCTGGGGAAAAAAGAACAAGCTTAATAAGAACTTTGAAACCAGTTTGGACATACTAGGTTTAAAATGCATATAGGTTAAAATATCTAGGAAGAAGAGAGAAACCTGGACTTGGAGCTGAGCTAAGAACTGGCACATTTGAGGATCTTCTGTCCAGAAAGGATTGTTGTAGGAACGAAGCCCAGAGAGATAAGTTCAAGGGCTGATCCATGCAGAATGCCTTTATTTAGAGGACAATAGGAGAAAATGGGGGCACATAAAAGAAACATATAGTAGAAAGTAGATTCAGATAGAGTAGCTGGTGGACAGTGCAAAAGAGGAGCCTAAGAATGGAATGAAGTACCAGTTTCAGATAGGAAGAAAAGTTAATGGGAAAGAGGACTGAGAAGGGGATAGTGGATTTGATCATGTTGGTGTCTTTAAGAAAAGAATGTTTTGGTTTATGGTTGTGGATTTTGAAGTCAATTAAGGATTGAGTTGGGATAAATGAGAAAGTGGAGACAGAGTGTAGATTCTAAAAAAATTGATAAGGGGAGGAAAAAGATGAAATAGTAGTTGAGCATTGGAAAAAGACATTCATATGATTTGGACATTTGTATAGGTACATGGGTGGGGTGGGGGTGGAGCTGGAATAAGAGATGGCTCTAAAGCTCCCAGAAGCCAATGTTTATAGCAGCAATGCCTGCAATTGCCAAAATATGGGAATATATATATGAATATTATCAGAAAGAATGAAATCTTGCTATTTGCAGTGATGTGGATGGAACTAGAGTGTATTATGCTAAGTGATATAAGTCAGTCAGAGAAAGACAAATACCATATGATTTAATTCACGTGTGGAATTTAAGAAACAGATGAATGTAGGGGAAGGGAAGGAAAAATAAGAAAAAACAGAGAGGCAAGCTATAAGAGACTCAACAATATGAAAAAGACTGAGGGTTGCTGGAAGGGAAGTGGGTGGGAGGGATAGGGTAATTGGGTGAAGGACAATAGGAGGGCATTTTATATAATGAGCACTGGTGTTATATGCAACTGATGGATCCCTAAACTCTACCCCGAAACAAACAAAAAACAAACAAAAAAAATGTAGACTTGAGAATGCATAAGGAGAGGTTTGCCTTTAAATAGGGGGGACTGCACTTCTTTTTCCACTATAGAAAACAGCAGAGGAAATATTTATCCTTCACCATTATGTGGCATAACCACGGCTTCACACAGTCCATATTTGGACCACACTCAAAGACAAAATATCATAACTGATCAGTCACTTGACATGTATGGCAATGATCATTTTTAAACTTGTCTTAGAGTTAAAAATATTTTAAAAACTAAATGTGAGTGTATTAGTCCCATCAACAGCCCACTATTTTTTACATATAACAAAGAAATATCAAACTGTTAAGGGATAAAACAAAAATACGTGGCTTTCTAAATAAAGGGTGGGAAGCCAAGCAGATGATATTTATCAAATGATAATTTATTCATAATAATTAGCTTTGCTTATGTCTCCAAAATTTGGGACATTGGGAATGAATAGTAATTTTGGTATAATATAGACACAACTGTTAACTACTCTTTAGGTGGGTCATTCTCTCATTTGGATTTAGTATTTTGTAAAATAGAAAAGTGTTTTCTTTTTTAGAGCTAGTTTCAAAAATAGACCCTTAACTGTGTATATAACTAGTATAATTAAACCTGCAGTAGGTATATATTTGTATTTGTATTGAAGTAGTAGAAATTTGAAGTAGTAGAAATTTATAGATAGTTTACAATCATTCAGGAAAATTCCCTCCAATGTGATTAATGCTTAATGATAAAAACCACTTTCAAGAATTGATCTTTGATGGGGTTCCCTGGGTGGTGCAGCGGTTTGGCACCTGCCTTTGGCCCAGGGCGTGATCCTGGAGACCCAGGATCGAATCCCACATCGGGCTCCCGGTGCATGGAGCCTGCTTCTCCCTCTGCCTATGTCTCTGCCTCTCTCTCTCTCTCTCTGTGACTATCATAGATAAATAAAAAAAATTAAAAAAAAAGAATTGATCTTTGAATGAAGTCTTTTTATAAGGAGGAGATGAAGTGGGGTTTCTAGTTGCTATGTTGATTTGGTTTAAGGTAGTTCCAATACTATAAGTCTGCTCTATCTTTTATTAAAATATTTGGGTGACTTACAATTTTTTTTCACTGAGGTTGTCAAGTTATGGATGAAAAAAAGACTAAGGGCAAACAAGGTTGTTATAGGTGGATAGACATTCTGTCCAGTGGTTTTCATGTCATTTGCAAGAAGTGAACTATCCATCCTCTGCCCCACACTTCACCTCTTTCCCTTGTGCCCTCACAAAGAGCCTGATGATTTTCTGTGAGGAACAGCTGGGGAGTTGCTGGGCTCCTCAAAACGAGGGCTGCTTTGATCTCTGCTCAACCCTGATCTCTTAGGTCATCTCTCTCTTTTTTTTTCAGGGGAAAGGGCATGTCTCTTTTGTGGATTCCTGGTTCATGGTGGTATCTGGATAAGGAAGAAAGGCTGTCCCTGCACTTTTGACTGTGGGGTGCTTGGCTGCATGTCCCAGTTCAGATTCCAACACACCCTATGTTGAAGAAGAAGCTTACAAGTCTGAACTTTGGTTTGGGCAACTGAGAATGAAAGCATTTTTCATCTGAACTTTCTGTGCTTTATGAACACCTCAAGGGAAACACCTTTAATACTGGAGCCCTAATAAAGAGCATAAGAAAATTTGTTTTTCTGGTGAAGAAAAATCTTGATGCACAAAACAGATGATACAAGCAACCCCGTTTCCCTAAATGCTTGTTATTTAATCTACTTAATAAATTTTGAATTCTTTGGAGATAAAGCAAAATGTAAGCAAAAATATGAGAAAAAGGAAGATGAGAGGGTTTTTTTTGTCATTGTTGTTTAGAGACACCAAGATATAGAAATTATTCCTTTTTTTTAAAAGAGCTTATTTATTTATTCATCACACACACACACACACACAGAGAGAGAGAGAGAGAGGCAGAGACATAGGCAGAGGGAGAAATAGGCTCCCTGCAGAGAGCCTGATGCAGGACTCCATCTCAGGATCCCTGATCATGCCCTGAGCCAAAGGCAGATGCTCAACCACTAAGCCACACAGGTGCCCCAGAAACTATTCCTTTTTAAAAATTATTTATTTATTTATTTGAGAGAGAAGGAGAGAGAGCAGGGGGTGGAGCAGCAGGAGAGGAAGAGAATCTCCAACAGACTCTGCACTGAGTACATAGCTCAATGCAGAGCTCCAGCTCACAACCCTAAGATCATGACTTGAGCCAAAACCAAAAGTTGGACCCTTAACCGACTGAGCCACCCAGGGGCCCCTAGGGTGTCTATAATTCTTCATGAAAGTTCTAAGAAATCTGATTTTTAAAAAATAGTGTAAATGAAGCTTAAAAAGCGAAGAATTCCACTTTCTGGGGGATTCTTAGGGACAGGCATCTTAGTAGGGTGTTACTAAGTGTCAAAGAGAAAATTGGTATGTCACTCAAATTTAGCTCTCCTCCATTTTTTATAACTTCTAAGAGCTGACACTGGAACTAAAGGAGGGCTTCCCATTTTTTTCTTTGATGGTTCCCAGGCAAAGTCTCCATTTCTTCCAGCTCTTTTTGGCCCTTCTCACTCATCAGGCAGCTAAGGGCACTAATCCCTTTCTTTCCATTTCCATGTATAGGGAGGTAAGACAGTGGGAAACCATACAATCCTATCCTCTGATGGGATATGTTTGCTAATAATCTAAAGCCTGTGGTTTAGTTTTATACCTGACGTTCCGATGGCTTTTTGGGGAGTTAAAGATTCTTGATATTTAAAATATATTGTATATAACTGTTTGTGAATATATGCATTCACATGTGTCTATCTGAGTTCATATCGCCTGCTTAAATTCCTTAGTCATTTTCCATCATCCTCAGATAAAGTGCAAGTTCTTTAGCATGCCTGGAATCTCCTTTCTTTCATTCTTGGTTGATCCTTCCTCTGTGTATGGGTTCAGCTTAGCATACATCATTTACAGGAAGTGTCTCAGGTTCCATGCTGTGTACAGGCACCTCATCTCTGTTCCTGTATCATTAGCATATTATAGTAAAGTCATTCACGGATTCTTTGGTTCAGCCAACTCTTTTTGAACATTTATGTTACCAATCAATCTATCATAGCCTCTAACTCTAGAAATGAATGGGGGAGTGCCGGGACTCTGCTCTGGCTGACTGCTCTGTCCCAAGGAATCCCAAGAGGGCTGGACAAATCAAAAGCATAATCGCTGGCTGGATTTGCCAACATTGTTCCTGAATAAACTTTGATGAACTAATTGAAAGAAAAGTTAACAACTCAAGACCTAAGGGCTTGGCAAAAGAAAGTGAGAAATTTATTTGGGGTGCTGCAGCCAGGAGAGGTGGCAGGCTCAGCCTTCACAACCCACCTCTCTTTCGCAAGATGGACACCTATAGTTTTTATAGAGAGTGGTTTGGATGAGAGGGGGTGGTTATGTGCAAGACAGCAGGCAGAGAGAGCATGTGATCATAGGTGGGGGTTGGGATGTGTTCAGCATGTGATCATGGGTAGAGAAGGGAATGTGGTCTAGGCATTCCATTGCTATCAGGGCTTTTCTGGCCTGGTGATTGGAGTATTCCTGGTCATTGCAAAAGGTCTTCACCAATGCCTCAAAGTGTGATAAGAAATAAGAACAATGGGTTTCAGTTAGAGCATGAGTTAAGTGGTCTTGTCTATTTCTGATTTTAACTGTTTTGGTCTATAGTTTAGCAAGAGGGCCCACTGACACTTTCATTGGCCTACTGCTTTAAGCCCCACCAAGTCAGGGTTTGTTATATAATAGACTTCAATAAATGTTTATGCAATCAAAATGGATATATGTTATTTCTAGTTTTAGTAAAGAGCTTAATTGGTTACTTATGAATGAAAATGCCTTTAGAGAGGCAATGTAATGTAGTAAAACAAACAAATTCAAAACCAAACCCTACTGGAGTTACAAGAAGAATAGCTACAGGTGGTGGCTAACAGCCTAGATTTCAGAGTCAAACTACATGCATGTAAATCCTGACTCTTCTGCAAGCTGGCTTTGTGATATCAGGCCAATTATCCAGTCTCCTTGCATCTCATATGTAAGAGAACAATCACAACAATGTTTGGTTGTTCTTTGAAAGAAAGGTTTAAGCAAAACGATCTCCAAAGGCTAGAGGAGACTCATAAGAGGAAAGAAAAAGGGCAAATCCAGCTTGATGAGAAATGGTTTGTTAAAGGGACATGCAGACAGAGTTCTGTCTTGGGTGGCTGCAAGATAAGTAGATCTCCACACCCCACTTCCTGTAAAACCTGCTTTTGTACCCTAAAGGCTGGGAAATACGTGCCAGGAGACCACCCTGGAGGGAATGTTTGAAGATCATAGTCATATCTCCAGAGCTGACCAAAGATGTTATGCTCCAAGGGTGTACTTAAGGGTGTGGTTAAGCAAAACAAAAGAGTTTGGGACAGTGGATAGCTATGCTCAAGAAGACTTCAGGTCACAGAGTGGTCACTATAGTGGATCTGTCCAAAAAGGCATTTGTCTGGTTCATACACTGGTCCACAAGGTTACTGAGAGGTTTAAATTAAAAGGCACAATAAAGGGCACCTGGGTGGCTCAGTTGGTTAAGTGTCTGACTCTTGATTTTGGCTTAGGTAATGATCTCATGGGTCTTAAGATCTAGCCCTGCGGTGGGCTCCACACTCAGTGGGGAGTCTGCTCAAAGATTCTCTCCCTCTGTCCCTCCCCCCACATGCACATGCATGCACTCTCTCTCTCTCAAATAAATCTTTTTTTAAAAAAGAAAGCACAATGAAAAAAATGAGGTACTCAGATAATAAACATTTGGTAACAATCAAAACAATAAAAGAAGACAGAATGAGGAATTATTACAATGTGGTATAATTAACCAAGGAAAAGTACATTATAAATTCCATAGTGTTGTATTTATTTTTTTGAGATTATTAATTTTCTCAATTTCATCGTTGGTCATACTTCTCAAGCTTTGATGAATTTACAAATCACTTGAGGATCTTGTTAAAATGGAATCTTTGATTCAGTAGGTCTTGGTTGGGGCCTGAGATTCTGCATTTCTAACAAGCTCCCAGGGGATGCTGATGCATGGGTCCACAGACTACGCTTTGTTCTAATTTTGAGCAATTGTTCTCAAACTTTATTATGTGCCAGAATCTCCTGGAGGGCTTGTTAAAACATGAAAGGTGGGCCCTACCCTCAGAGCTTCTGCTTCAGTAGGTCTTGGGTGGTGCCTGATAATTTGCATTTCTAACCAGCCCCCAGCTGATGTTAATGCTGCTAATTTGGGAACTTCATTCTTTGAGAACCATTGATTTAGAAAACAGAAGATTGTTTTATTTGGCAAGCAAATTACTTCACCATGCTATAGAAATTAGGAATTGGAAACTTTAAGACTTAGATTCTGATGCTTAGATTTTAGTTCTGGTGTCTAAACACATTTGTATTATTTTAAACAATAATTAGCACTAACAAGTCCTATGGCTTTGATCTAAAGCCTAAAGCCTGCTATAGCTATAGTATAACAATCTACTTCTAACCTGGGACCCCTGATTGTACTGACAGCCAATCTCATTAGGCATCGTGAACACTTGCCCGAGTTGCAATAGACTTTGCCTTCAGAAATAAGTACATTAGGACAATGGACTCGCTCCATGGATTAATGGGACAGTTAATACATTTTGAGGACAGGAATGGGTTATAAGACTCCTTAAGTATTTACTCATAGCAAATTATTAGAAAAGAGGAGAAAGTGGTCAAACTTGCCTCTAAGCAAAAATTAGAGAGATGCAGTGTCAAAATATACTGAACTGACTCGTCCTATATTTGTTGGTATTCCAGCTCTTTTGAGTAAAGAGATATTATTGTACAATCTGGAAGACCAGTCATCCTCCCATGCCAGCGTGCAACCTCCTTAGTTTAATGGAGAGAAATAAAATGCTCATGGAACAAAATCATTCTTCCTTATCCCCAAAATGGACCAACTGTCTGCATTCAACATTTATTGTCCTTTTTTTTACAAGATTGAGTACTATATTCTGGGAGAGAGATCAAGAATGGTTCTTTCCTCAAAATGTTTATAATCTTAACAGAGATAAGGACTTATGAAAATAATTATAAGCGGAATAGGATAACTGATATATTAACCATTACTTCCAATGTGAAGAGGGAATGCACAAGAAACAATGATACATTCTGTTTGAGGAAGGTGGAGAAGGATTAAAGAGGATGTGGCATACTGGCCAAGACCTTAAAAATTAAAAGAATTTCAGTAGATAGAGGTCTATTAAGGGGTTTATAGCTATATACTTACTAAGCTGAATCTAGAACTAATGTTTCCACCTACTGTGTCCTGTAAACATTGAAAGGGTTGTTTTCCCTCAAATTAGTGGTATATGACTCAGGGGGAAAAAAGTGAATATTAACAAACTAATGTGTGTTTCATTTGTTACATGAAAGATCAGTGGTTGCTTAGATAATTTTCAGATTTCTGTGTCCCAACTGCCATGATAGTCAATGAAATTTTGATTGTTGACCAGATGACTGGTTTTCCTGCGGACCCATCTTGGCAACTCTGAAACAGAATTCAAGGCTGACTATAGTTTAAAGATTTATAACTTCTTGAAACACATTTCAACTTTGAAGGACATAGCTATGAATTAATTCTTTATGTCTTGCAGAGCCCTGAGGATTATTTAAATAAGAAAGTTGGGCAAAGTTAAAACATGAGCGGATGGCCTGGTTAGATCTAAATTTAAATTTGATGGAAACCAAACTTGTTCCTTTGTT